GTGGTCTCATCTGGTCTTTTTCAACTCAGAGAGCAGTCAGCTATGAGTATGGCATGTGCTTGCTGCTTGACATTTGCTATTTTAGGATCATTATGGTCAAACCAGTCTGCACGTTGGCATTTTGTGTACTCAACACAATCCACAACGGTGTTACAGAATGTCACACAGGGACACTCATTCGGCAAATACGTCATCACTGATCAGTGGAAGGGTTTATAAGAGGTTCTTTTATACGGTCTAACATGCTCACACACCAACTGGTATATCAACCCAATGGACAGGAATGCTACCGTCCAGCAATGACCCTCCAGGTGTGAGAACAATGGTATTGACTGGGACTGAACTGGAGGTTCTCAGCCTTTTCATGATGAGAAGCTGATGGCTCTGAAACAGGCACTTGATCAGGATAGTTCAGAAGGTAGAGGGAGGGGGGGATGTAGTTGGGCTCCTCAGGGTTCCTCAAAAAGTTTAAATGAGCCTCCAAGAAAATAAGGGAAGAAAGAAAGGATATACATGCCTATCATTGTGCAAGTGATCCTTCCTTTGAGCTGAACTATAACAGAATGCGCCACCTCCACAGATCCGCACTGCTGTACATCAGTTACACATTGCAGAGGATTATACTGCACAACTGAAACAATAAGCTGATTTCCAAGCAATAAGCAGCCTTCTCAAGCCAAGAGGATGCAGGTTACCACAATTCATTAATGGCTTTTTATAAATTGTAACAGCTGAATGATTACTGACACAGTGCACCGGGCTCTAGCACCCCTGTTGCTACAGCCCATCATTACCAGCTAAGTGTTTGCTTCACTTACAGGAATGTCAGACATCACACAAAACATGGCCAGATGGTAATAGATGCAAGCAGGCTGACAGATTTGAAATAAAGATCTCTGTAATGCACTCTCATCTGGGCACGGTTGAGTCAGCTGGATTCAAAACATTGTGCTGCTGGACATGATGCCTGCAGCACCAGAAGAGACCAGGGTGGGGAGGAAGGGCTAGTGGTTAGGGCAGGAGATTGTGAACAATGCAACATGGCCAATGGCAATGAGAGGGCACTGGACAAGGGAGACTAAAACTGGGTTCTAATCTCAGCTGTGCATGATCATACACAATGGGGACAGTGATACCTACTGCCCTTGGAAAGAGCTTTGAGATCTCTGGATGAAAAATGTTACGTAAAAGCTAGATATTTGTACTCTGCCCAAGTGACTCCAGGGAAATCATCGCACCTGTTCTGTGCCTCAATGTCCACATCAGCAAAAGAGGGACAGTACGTACACACACACACACACACACACACACACACACACACACACACACACCCCTTCCAGAGGTGTTGAGAGGCTGAATTCATCACTGTTGCTACAATGCTTTCAGAACTCTGGATGAAAGGTGCACAAAGTGTTACTTGTGTGATTATTCACATATTGTTACTTACCTTCACAGCCACCTGCAAGGAATTGGGGTCACTGAGGATCCCCACCACCTGACCTTCATATACTTCGCCAAAAGCTCCATGGCCCAAACCTCTGGATAAACCATAAAAGATAATGAGGTTTTAATGCAGAACATGCACACTATAATATTCTGATCACAGGAAATAGAACATGGGTATAGTTTTTATGCCAGTAAAACATGCAGAACTGAAACATCAATCCTGGTCATGCTGCTGGTACCACTCTGCACAGCCATTTGTGGGAGCATGGCTTGGTTTCCAATATTGATTTTTTCCATCTTTATCCTAAAATGTATTTAGCTGCTAGGGGAGGTAGTCCTCAAAAGTAAAAGCTTGTGGAGCCTTAATGTATATGTCAAAATGGCATACCCCATTTCTGAGTCACTGATAACTCAGAAGAAAATGATCTTGAATGCTTAGGGATCAATGTCCTAAAAGATAAAGTACACGGGGTACTGGTAAATTGCTGCTACATACCTCTCAATGACACAAGGGAACATGACGACTGGCTCCTTATACACCTATCTACAAAGTGTAGGGGAAAAAAAGCTGCAGGATGATGGGGGACTTCAGTGTGAGTGACATATGTTGGAGGAATATGCAGGATTTCTTTATTAGACCTTGTTTTAACAGATAAAGAAGAACTGACCAAAAAACTAATATTAATGGTAGTTCAGGTACAAATGATGACGACCTGATCACATTTATAACGTACAAGCCAAAAAAAGTACAGACGAGTAACATACACACACACATACACACACACACTCTCACTCATAGCAATTTCAAAAAGCTGAAAAGAATGATGAACCAAGTCAGCTGGGAAGAATAATTTAATCAGAAAAATCATTTTTAATCAGCAAATAATCATTAAAAACACCTTAGATACCTGAACAATCAAAATTGCACAACTGAGAAAGAAAGCTCTGCTGTTTTAAAAAAACTGACCGGGTTTAAAAAGTAACAACAGCTTACGTAAATATTCATATATATAATTACAAATGGAAGGGGGAAGTTGATAGTAATGACTATATACCAGAAGTTAGGAACTATAGAAAACTGAAAAGAGAAATCAAGGGACACAAGGAAAAATCTATGGCTAGCAGAGTTAAGGACAATAAGGATATTTTAAAATGTCTTAGAAATAAAAAGAATCCTGACAATGGTATTGGTCCATTACTATATAGCAATGGCAGAGTTATCAATAATAATGCAGAAAAAGTAGCAGTGTTCAATAACTATTTCTGTTCTATATTTGGAGGAAAAAATATGATGTAGTCTCATATGGTGACGATAGCACACTTTTCATTCCACTACTGTCAGAAAAGGTCATTGAAAAGAAGCTACTAAAGTTGGATATTTTAGAGTCGGCAGCTCTGGATAATTTGCACCCTGCCGTTTTAAAAGGATTGGCTGAGGACCTTGCTGAACCATTAATGTTGATTGTCACAAAGTTTTGGAGCACTGGGGAAGTTTCAAAAGACTGGAAGAAAGCTAATGTTAGGGAAATTTGTAAAAAGGGCAAAGAGGATTGTCCGGTTAATTATAGGCCTGTCAGCCTGACATCAATCTTAGGCAAGATAATGGAGCAGTTGATGTGGGATTTGATTAATAAATAATTGAAAAATTAAAGGATTGTAGTGTAATAAATGCAAATCAACACTAGTTTATGGAAAACAGATCCTATCCAACTAATTTGGTATCTTTCCCCTCCGAGATTACAAGTTTTGTCGATAAAGGTAATAATTCTGACATAATAGATTTCTGTGAAGTGCTTGACTTGGTATTGAACAACATTTTGATTAAAAACTAGAATGATGTAAAATGAACATAGAATACATTAAAGAGATAAAATACTGGCTGACAAGTCTCAAACTGTAACCAAAATAGGACATTGTCATTGGGTAGGTGTGTTTCTAGGGGGAATACAGGGCCAGATTAAGATGTGCTGAGGCCCTAAAATATGTCAAATTTAAGAGGCCTACATTACCAAACAATGTGTATTATTCTTACAGAAAGCACAATGAAAACAGAAATAATAAAGTTTTATATTTGCCTATACACTGGTTCATAGGCAAGGATGCAACTAAAAACTAGTAATTTTTTTTTATTTAGAGGCTTCTCATAAACTGAGGGGCAAAGCTGTAACTTACTTAGATTTTGCATAAATCTGGCACACAGGGATTGGTTCTTGGCCCTATACTATTTCACATTTCTATCAAGAACCTAAAAGAAAACATCACATCATCGCTAATAAAGTTTGCAGAGGGGGAGGACAGATAATGAGGAGGGCAGGTCACTCATTCAGAGCAATTTGGATCAGCTGGAAAAGCACAAGAAAACAATACGCATTTCAACATGGCCATGATGCATTTTAACGTGGCTACAGAGTACATAAATGTGCGCATCTAGGAACAAAGAATGTAGGCCATACTTACAGGATGGGAAATTCTATTCAGAGAAGCAGTGACTTTTGAAAAGATTTGGGGGTCACAGTGGATGAACATAAGCTCCCAAGAGAACACTGTGGCCAAAAGAGCTAATGCAATTTTGGGACGCATAAACACAGGAATCTCAAGTAGGTGTATAGATCTTATTTTATCTCTGTATGGGTCACTGCTGCAACGGCTGCTGGAATAGTGTGCCCAGTTCTAGTGCCCACAATTGAAGGAGGATGATGATAAATTGGAGAAGGTTCAGAGAAGAGCCATGAAACTAATTAAAGTATTAGAAAACTTGCCTTTTAGAGACAGTCTCAAAGAGCTCAATCTGTTTAGCTTAAAGAGAAAGTTAAAGGGTTACTGGATGAGAGTCTATAAGTATCTACATGGCCAATGGTTATTTATAATGGGTTCTTCAGTCTAGCAGAGAAAGGTATAACATGATTCAGTGGCTGGATGCTGAAGCTAGACAAATTCACAGGGGAAATAAGGCGTAAGCCTTTATCATTAAGAGTAATTAACCATGAGAATAAAGTACCAAGAGTCATCTTCATTGCAGGCAATTTTTAAATTCACACTAGATGTTTTTCTAAAAGAGCCACACTGAGAATTATTTTGGGGAAGTTCTATGCCTTTTGCTATAACAGAGGTCAGACTAGATCAAGGGTGGGCAAGATACGGCCCATGGGCCAAATCTGGCCCGCCAAGCTGCTGGGCCTACAGGCCAAGACCCCAAGACTGTTCAAAATGGCTGGTGCTCCCCTCCGCCAGGGGTGTTTTAAATAGTGAGACATGTCCCTGGCAAAAGGGAAGAGGGCAAGAGACTTCATGCGCTCGTCTGCCACCAGGCTCTGATTGGCCTGGAGGTGGAGGAGCATGCAAAGTCTCCTCCTTCACCTCTTGCCAAGAGCATGGAGTGCGTAAAGGGAGCCGCCAGCTGTTCAAAACAGCTGGGGGTTCCCTCTAGGCATTGCGTGACCCTGGTGGGGGGAGAGAGTTTGCACGTTTCCCCACCCCCAGGCCTTGGTCCCAGTTGTGATGATTGGCCTAGTGGCGGGGAAGTGTTCAACGTCTCTTGCCCCCCAGAGATGCACGGCCCAGAGCAGCACACAGAGGGGGCCTGCTGCAGGAGGGAGCCTGCCTTGGGGACCCTGATGGGCTGCTGGCCGGGAGCTGCCTAAGCAGAGCCTAGGCAGAGCCTGCCTCCGGAACCCCAGCCCCTCCCGCTTCCCAACTCCCTGCCCCAGGTCACCACTCCTTCCTGCCCTAGGTCACCACCCAAATCCTCTGCACACATATCCCGTCCCAGGTCACAATTCTCTTCCAAACCCTGCACTCTCTGCAATACCCCTCCCCCAGGTAAACAACTCCTGCACCCCTATTCTCTCCCAGACTCTGCACCTCAATTTCCTGCCCCCAATTCATCCAAACTCCCTCCCACGCCGTCTCTTGCACCCCAATCCTCTACTCTGAGTTCCCTTTTACACCCAACCTCCGTCCCAAACCCCACACTCCCTCCATTGAGAAGGATGGCCTTTTACCACTTTCCAAAATCTTGGAGCGGCCCTCCATCAAAAATTATTGCGAACCCCAGGACTAGAAGGTCACAATAGTTATTTCTGGCCTTGGCTTTATAGCTGCTTGTTTCCAATCTATTGTAGTTAAAATGTTGATGTTATAGTATGTAGCACATAGTATTGTCCTCTTACACTAGTATAGGAGCACTTCCTAATTTTAATCTACTTGCTGTGTAACTCAAAAGTGTTCTAAACAATGGGCAGATCAGAGATACACTTTTCATTTGATACTTTTCATTTTACAGTATACAGTACTCTAAATTTGTTAACAATTCCTTAGACAATTATACATCTTATTTTAAGAAAGCATCAAGTAAGAGGCTGTGCAGTGCAACAGATGTCAAGGGACCTAAATTCTGGCTCTGTCACTGACTTGATGACCTTAAGTAAGTCACTTAATCACCCTGTGCCTCAGTTTTCTACATCTGTAAAATCATGCTTTGTAGAGCATTCATCTCCATGGATAAACCATATTATCTATGTAAGTGCTAGAAATGGTGACTGTAGATAGTAACATATTATGAAGAAATTGTGAGGCTTCATTATGGAACAAGATAAGGAAAAAAGCAAACAAATCTTACACCTCGTTAATGCACAGTTTCTCCATTGTGTTCATTATAGAAGTTTTGTGTCACTGCTTATTCTGTTTTTTAATTAATAGATGCTAAATCTCTAAGTGCAACAAGAGCCACATCACATAGGCGTTAGGGGCACAGATACACAGCATGACAACACCACAGTGAAGATAGAAGCTGTTGGACTGAGCCCTGGAATCCCCTCTTCATCCACACAGGGAGTTAAGCTTTGGCAGGGGTGATGTAAGCCTCCTCAACTCAGACATGGCCGGGGTGGGGGAGCGAGATGCCTAGTCATTCACTTCCAGGGCACTTGTTTGAACCAGGACTGGATTGATGGTCAGACTGAATGGCTGCTAGGTGGCCTGTGTTCATTTGAGCTGGTGGCCTCATTCCAGTTCTATTACTTCTGTATGTGGTCTCAGCAGGTCACAAAGACTCAACCCCCCAGATCATGATCCTGTCTAGATATGGTAAAGGTACATGGCCAGGCCCGCTAGCGTGGGGCGGGGGCAAAGTGGGAAACTGCCCTGGGCCTAGTAACTCTAATGGATCTGGGGCTTCCATTGCTGCCACTGCTACTGCGGTAGCAACGGTACTCAGAGCCCCAAATCACCACAGGAGTGCTGTGCAGCATGCTCCAGGGGCTGGGTGGCAATGAGGGATGGCTGCTTCAGCCCCGGCCCTTCTGCCTATGACCCCATCCTTTCTAGGTGCCCGGAGCTGTCCCCCCCCGACCTTGCCCAGAGGCCCAGTGTGGCTGTTGGCTCCCCTGTACATGGCTTCTGGATGAGGGAAACTCATGCTATTACTGTCCATGCTATTGAACTGCTATAGATACAGTTCAATTTAAAGTCCCTTTCGTCCTTGCCAGGAGAAAAAATGTTACTTTTCTGACTGTCAGGCCTCAACCCTGGCAGCTAACCCACACTGCAGAGTCAAATTGTCAGTAGCTTGATTGCTCCTAACAATTATTCCCACTAAGTGTCAGCCATGAAACATTATATTCAGCCGCACTGATCCATCCTGTGTAAAATGGGACTTTAAAACAGTTACAGAGCTCTACAGTGCATAAACATACCCCTCTTCCTCCACCAATTCCCAGATTTTTCCTTTACTCTCTGTGGCTTGATACAAACTCAGTGATCCCATCACAGCCTGTGTATATGGCGGTACACAGTGCATTGGGAAGTCCTAACTTGGGAGCAGCGAGGTATGATATGACAGAGGCCTGCAGTAGCTGATAACATAGTGAGGGTGGTAGTGGACATCATCTTTGTTATAAGATCCTGAATCTCCTATGCCCTCCTGCTCCTTAATCCTGCCTTTTTGCTTTGTGCCAAAGATCATGTGTCACATCATATTGTCTATTGGGGAGCTCTATACCCTACAACAATAGAGGGATTGGACTCTATGATTCTGCAAATCTTTCCTAGAGGTGATCCCCAACCCAAGCCACCCTCAATTTTTTAGAAACTTCTCATCCAGATCCTAATGTTGTTCAGCCCATGGATAGCTTTCCCCATCTCTGGCTTTTACAGTCCATGGCCCACTATCCAGTAGCACCTAGATTCTCACTGCTCATTGCTGAGGTCACTCTCCTTGCCAGGAATCCAGCCACAGCCTTCTAACAAACCTCCTCCAATCCTCATGCCCCCCATATTGCAATATTTGGTCTAAACCCAAGGGGCACTACACAAAGCATTTGAGAGCCTGGAAGAAAGATCTCTAGGATCTGAATTACTGGGCTTTGTGGTGATAGAGCATCTGTTCTTTCTACAAGACAGAAGATGAACAATGTGCCTATGAAAGGCTAAGGAGACCAAGCTAGCATCCAGTCTCTACAATGGTCATGTGGTAAGCATGGAATATCACCCTAACTGCCATAGTTCTTTTGTGTGTCTAAGAGAAGGGACAGGTGTGCGAATAGAAAGAAAGAATGAGAATGTGTGTGCACCAGGCATGCAAGAGACAGAGTGCATATGAATATATTGGGTGAAGTACAAGGAAGGCAAACAGATGAACTTACCTTATGAGGGAGATATTTTTCCGAGGCACCTCCTTGAGATCACTGATGGAGGTGGTCTTTCCCGCAAAACAGTAGTTGGGATTGTAGTCTGTCATAATAGTGGAGGTGCGCAGCCGGCTCAGTTTGTACTCGGGGCTCTGTAATTCCAGCTGCATGGCTTGCAGTTCCTGGTGCTTCCGGCGATACACTACAAATGGAGCACAGTGAGTCATGGATGCAGACATGAAGGCAATCAACACAGAACATGTGATGTGTAACTGGTACAGTGTTCAAACTTCAGTGAATCAAAATAAACAGAGGCATTGGCAACCTTCAGCGCATTGAATGCATACATGTAGAAGTCTTCTGGATGCTTCTCCAAAGCTCACTCTGAATTTATCCAACTTTGTTAGGTTTAGAAATCAGGTTAAGAAAAAACTCACTCATGAGACTTCCAGCATTGCTTGATTTTAAGAATAGGATGAAATCCAGTTAACAGTGAATTCTGAGGTAACAAATCTCTTTTATTAGTGATTGGGCTTCAAAGAATGGAACCAAAGCCAACTTTTTCAAAACTCAAAGGTGTTTGGACACAGCACCTAGCTTACAAGGAAACTGAATAAAAATCCATATTTAGTTGTGTTGTATCACTATATTCAGACTGGAATCTCTTTAGAAGTAAAATTACTTCACTTTATGAAATTCTCTCTTGATTCCCATAAGCAGGTAGTCAGTGTAAAGTTTTTAAAGAAAACCATCCACTTGATCAAAACATTCTAAACCTTAAACATGGTTCAATTTTGGGCAAAAGCTGAATGAAATTTGTTTTTACAGTCTCAGAACCAATTAACTCAGCTGTTATTGTTAGCTTCCCACACCTGTGGAAGATAGGTATTTCTGAAGAAATCACAAACCAAAACTAGACCCGCTGCAAAATGTAAGTTTACAAAATAGGGCCCAGTCATAGAGATACTAACTTAACAGTAATTTTGCCATGAACTTCAATGGGAGCAGATGTAATTGAAATTCTGACAAAGGCCACAAACATTTATGTCTTAGGAAGCCATCATTTGTAAAATTAGAATCTCAGCCAATGTAAGCACCTTCATACATATTGTATTACCCTAAATAAAAAGAGGCTTGATTTTTTTAAGTGCTGAGCTCTCACAGCTCCTTCTAAAATCAGTGAAAACTGGAAAATGTGGTCTGACATTTTTGCACCCCAAACCACAAAACAATTTCTCTATAAGGATACAGTCATGAGAAGTATTGCAATGCTGCCATCAGTCACTGGAACAACTTTGGAACTAGCTAGTAAAGATAAGAATGGCATAGGTCAGGAGTGGGCAAAAATTTTTCATGGGGGGCCACTCCAAGATTTTGGAAAGTGGTTGAGGGCTGCACTCTTCTATGATATTAATGGAGGAGGTGCAAGAGAGCCTGCCTGCGGTGCCCCACTGTGTCTGTGGGCCGTATTTTGCCCAGGCCTGGCATAGGTGGTATTTTAATTATACCTTGCTATTCATTTATGCCCATACTTGCTGCCTGGTGTAAAAGTACTGCTCAAACTAAATTTTCTTTTTAACTTTTTCCACTTTCCCTTCAAAAGGAAAAATGTCCCTAAATTGGTTGTTTTGGCTAAAAACATTTGTCAAAAAAAGAAAACAGATGAGTTTTCATTAAAAAAAATCCAGCTTAAAGCTTGTGTTAATGCCAATGTTCTTGGTTCTACTAGAAATGGCTTAGATGCAAAGCACAATATGCTGAAGCTTTTGCTCCTCTGCGTGCATTTTGCTTTATGAGACACTCACCTATCATGATCCCAGAAAAAGCCAGAATGAGGGCAGCAACCAGTGTAGAAGTCACTACAGACAAGACCAAAGGGAGGGGGAGATGAGCCCCGGGGTCGGCTGAAAGAGATGCAGGAGAAAGAGGGTGTTACAGGTTTTAAATCCTCTCCCTATGGTCATTTAAAAAAAAAATTTTCTGTCCCTCCTTCCGTTTGCTCCATCTGTTGCTCTTACAATGTATGAAACCAGGAGGACCTCTGCTGCAATCAACTCCCAGCTCTATGACTTCCAATGGCTCATTCTTTCACGTTCCTCAATTAAATTTCAGCCATAGAAACAGATGGTTTCCTATCAGGAAATTAACACACACATTCTCTGGACATGAAAGCAAGGCTATTGAAAACCTGGGGGGAGGAGGGAGGAAGAGAATATTAAATTGCCTGGGGCCTGAGTGCGGCCATCAATGCCAAGTCATAGTGAAAACAGCATGAGGATAACTCCAATCTGCTCTTTCAGGGGTGGGCAAACTTTTTGGCCTGACGGCCACATCCACATATAGAAATTGTACGGTGGGCCATGAATGCTCATGAAATTGAGGCTAGGGTGTGGGAGGAGGCAAGGACTCTGGCTGGGGTGTGGGTTCTTGGGTGGGGATGAGAGATGTGGGGTCCAGGAGGTTGCTCCAGTCTGGGACTGAGGGATTCAGATGGCAGGAGAGGGATCAGGACTGGGGCAGAGGGTTGGACCATGGAGGGTGTGATGGCAAGTTAGGGTTTCCCCAATCCTGCACCCCCATAGCAGCCAGAACAGTCTCCACCAGCCAGTAGAATAGAGAGGGGTTTATTGATTTTCCAGAACACAGCACAGCACATATGTGATGTGACTACCGGGGGCAGGGCCAGGATGGCTCAGGCCCCTAGGGTTAGGGTCCATCACCCCTATCCCACAGCTTAGCCTGTTCTCTCCGTACTTCCCAGACAGCAACTGACCCTCTCCTTGCCTGCAAGTCCTTTGTCCCTCTCTTCCCTTAACTTGTATAACCAGTTTTGCTACCATCCTGGGAATGGCAGGATACCCCCTGCTGGGCCGTGCTTACAGACAGCCGCCAGTGGGGGTCCCCCACAGCCCAAGCATAGTAACCAACAAGAGGAGAGACCTCACCAGGCTTATCCTAGGAAAAGTAGAGGCTGGAGTACAAGATGACAGCCCCCAATGCGATTTGGGGCAGAGGGTGCGTCATTGCTCTGTCAGTAACTGACATTCTGGCCACTTGTGCCAAGCACAGCTGCTAGCCTGCGCACTGGGGCCAGGCAGTGATGAGGGCATGTGGCACCAAATGAGGTTGGAGCAGAGTTGTTGTAGCTTTAGCCCAGAGAACAGGTGGGTCCTTGGAACCGGGTTGGGTAGGAGAGGGATCAAGCTCCAGGCCGCTTGTGGGTCTCTGCTTGCTGAAGGTTTCAGGGAGCAGAGCTGGTCTCTGGGCCTGCAGCTCCAGCTACTCCTCAGTGCAGCCCCAAGTGTAGCCCATGGGAGGGACCCTAGGGGGCTCCAACTGCCTCCAAGGACTTGCCTTCCTCCTGAGCCACGGGGAGCACCCTAAAAATAACACGTGGCGTGAAGCACAGGTTGGGAAAAGGGGCAACTGCCCCCACACCTAGACTGAACCCTGGAAAAATTCCTTTTTTGGGGTGAAAGTGAATTTTAGAACAGAGTTTCTTTCTCTGATCTGTGCCTTTAAGGAGCCCCCAGACCCACAGAGCACATTCCTTGCCTCTTGAGTGAAAAATATCACCTAGCTGCTTCAAATGTTACCCAATGAGTCAGCTATATAGGGCAAAACACATCAGCAAACTGTGCCTGCCCCATGTGTTAGCTTCCTTGCCACAGAAGTACACTGCATATGCCAGCAATGAAGGGGATAATTAATCAGGGTCAACTTTTAAAGAAAGACTATTTAAATCTGTGGTGCCTTGCAATCCAGGAAGTTAAAGAAGCTTTCACTATGCACTCATGCATAGATGTTACGACCCATCCCAAAGGAACTCCTTCCTTTCTGCACCTTCTTACCTACACAAGAGACACCATCAGCAGCCAGGTCTGTCCCAGGCTCACAGAAGCAAATGACTTTTTGAGTCTCAAGATCAACGCGGCACTCATCAAGCTCACAGTGGCTGCAGTTAAGGTGCAGCTTAATAGCCACCTCTCCGTGTCCCTCTGTCACTAGGGAACAGATGAAAGAGGCTGAGTATGTTATAGGAGAGAATCCAAGAGCTCCCCCGGACAGCAACAGGAGAACTGCTGCAATATGACATTGTAATATGCAGAAATGTATGGTCTCAAGAGTCCCACATCGGGTGGGATGGGCTCTGTCTGAAAAACTTTTGCTGACTGCCATTCACCCCTCTCTGCTGACGGTAGCCCCACGTCTCACTGGCACTACTGCCAGAGAGAGGACACTGAAGGAATCTCAGCTATTAGTTTTCACTCACTCACTCAGGCTATGCCTACACCACAAGGTTTTTGCGCAAAAACTGGCGGAGCACCCACTCCTTAAGTGTGTTTTTGCGCAAAAAGAAGTACAGTAAATCGACAGAACAGAGGGCTTCCCACGAGGAATAACTCCTTTTTGCCCTACAGTTCTTGCACAAAAAGGTATGTGTGGATGCTCCACGGGGGTTTCTTGCGCAAAAAGCCTATCAGAAAAAGTACAGATGCTCTGATGGCCATTCAGTTAATTACAATCAGTGCTATCTTGCGCAAGAGAGTCCATGCAATATGGGCACTCCCTTGCACAAAAGCACATTGCTTTTGCGATGCACTTTTGAGGTGTGGACGCGCTTTTGCGCAAGACGTTTTTGCGGAAGAGATCTTCTACAAAAAGCTTCTTGTGCAAAAACCCTGCAGTGTAGACAAGGCTCCGCCCTCCCCCTCTCACACGCCCCTCTGCTAAGCTGTCTTGGATACCAGCACTGCAGCCACATGAACCAGTTATGCTGGTGCAATGTGGTCACAGAGACCAACCCTTCAGTTAATCCCCCAGAGTATAAATGTTTTCTGCCACTGCCTCATTAGAGCACAAGGCGCATTGTGGGGCAGGCAAAGGGCATGCTGAGGTGAGGAAGAAGTGTTGCTGGAGCAATCATGTGCCCTCCATGCTACAGCAAGTCCCACTGGGGTTCTGGGAGTAGGGGAGGGGATCCAAGTGAGGGCAGTCCTCACGCGTTTCCTAGTCTGTGCTGGGGCTGAACCATCCACAGCAGCCCCTGCTGACCTACTGGGGGAATCAAGTTCAAGTTCTCGGGGCTGGTACAGACGGAGAAAGCTGTCAAGGTAGCACATTCTATCTATAGGCACTGGGGGAAGTACCTCACTGCCCTCTCCAGCACTCTCTCAGTCTGACCCAAGAGAAGCTTTAATGGGGGAAGAATTCAGCACAGAAACATTTCTCATAGGATCGCTCTCAGCTTCCAGCACTATCAGAAGTACAGCACACGAATCACAGGCTGACAGCTGGGGGAAAGAGGCCTGCTACATCATCCAGCCCATGCTCCACCCAGGACTGGATTGGCATCCTAGTTTGTTGTAAACGAGACTTATTCTAACTTCTTTGAGTAGCAACATCTTTTTATTTTTCAGGCAACCCATCTATCCTGGCAGTAGCACCACAGACCCACCACACTTTCTACATTTGCCAACAGCATACAACATGACACTGGAACACCCACACATTTCCTTGTTTAACTCTCTGCCTACTTCCCTTACTGGCTGCTTTATTACAGACATTATAACAACTTTGTTCCCTACAGTATTTCTTGGTTTCATTGTCCAGTCCAGTTTCTAAACGACTTTAGAAATTAAGCTTCTATCACTTCTCATGTGGAGACTACTCCACAGACTAAGAGATCTCACCATTAGGAAATATTTCCCCAACAGCCTCAATTTTTTTCCTTTGCTCGCTTTCATCTCCTTATTCCACATTGGGCTATGCTAAACAATGTGTCTCTTTCCTTGATGTTCACAACTATGCTAATCTACATCTTCGAAGCTTTGAAACAAACAGCCTACTCCAAACATGAAGGAAACTCAGGAGAACTGACCAATATCAATACCTTTTAGTGCAGGGGTGTATAAAGTACCCAGTGGACTAATAAAGGACACCCCATCCTCACCATCGATCTCTGGGTCATTGTCTGCTGCAGCATTGCCACCTACATCAAATGAGATGGTACCTTAACATACTGGGGGTTCATTAGATCTAAAATACAGTTAATTGAAACATGCAAGAAAATTCACAAGCATCCAAATGAGAAAGGGTGATTAATCAGTCTAAATATCCAGCTGGGACGTTTAATGGATGGGGGGAAGGTTAGTGGATAGTGATATGGAGCACTGGCCTTTCACTTCAGGGAGTTCTGTGAACAACACTTGTGGCTCTTAATGAAGCAAATTAATCTTTCAGCTCAGTCCCAGGCAGACTATTTCCCACTAAGCACAAACATCACCTTTAATCATTTGGATGCTGTAAAAAACGTAGAAACAGATGCATTCGTTTGGCTTGCAGACTGGACAATGCCAGTGCATAGGAGTTAACTCAGCACAGTTCAGGCTTTGTACTCCCAGGCTATGCACTGGGAGTAACAGTCATCTGAACTGCTTTTTCTCCTCTACACCCTCAGGCCAGGGTGGTCCACCAGCGATGGGGGACTAAAGGAGCTTGCATGGGAAATGTCCAAGTGTGCCTTGGACAGGCAGAGATCACAGAAGGGGAGCGGTAGCTCAATATTTTGATCTGTTAACATGCACAGATACCCTTCCTCCTTCTAAAAAGAGAGGGTTGTTTTTCTACTTTCATCACCTTTGGCAGGGCAGAAAATTGGACACTAAAAACAACATTATCTTGCATGAGACATTCTGTTGAAAAAAAATCATTATACATAATATCATCACAAAGCATGTGGTCAAGCTAAGCACTCAGGCTAATTACTTCTTTGAAGTGTTTTGAGACTACCATTGCTCTGAATTCAAGCCACAGTGGTGGATAACCACAGGTGAGAAGTCCACCACAGCTGAAGTAATGGGTGGCCACAGGGACTGATTATTGGTTGTGAAGCTGTTCACCCTATGGTGACTGCTTTCAGTCTGGCCCATATCAATAGTAATTCAGAGTCATTACCATCTGATGGTTGACCTGGAGACGTTTGGAAATGAATTAGTAGCCTCCATTCAGTTCCTTGTTGACAAAAGCCACAATAATAGCAATTATTAATTGACCTCTCTTGTAGGCAGTCTGAGCACAAGAGGAAAGGATTAGACCATGGAGACCAAAATACCTGCCTTGCCCCTAGAGGAATCCCCTGTAGGGTTGAGGTATGTTGGTCGTAGGGCAGTGTGGAGGAAGCTTGGTTTGCCACTGTTCATGCTCAATCTCCTTTAAGGCTTTGTCTACACTGCACTGTTAACCCGGTAAATGGCACCAACGCCTGAACATCTGAGTCAGCCCTGCTTAGCTGAGATCACCTTCACAGCAAAGCCATACTTGGCTATTTCCACATATGTCTGTATGTCTGGGGGAATTTCCCATGGTTTTTCATGTTCCTTTCACAGCTGGAAGGGCAGTGGAGGACTCACGTGATTTAGCCGTTATCCTCACTGAACATGTGGGTTTCAGCCTGAGTTAAAGAGGAGTCACGGCTCTCGTCATCCCTAAGCTGGGTCAGCTACCCTGGGCTTAAAGCAATTCCAGACCTAGATAAAAAGCCCTCCCCTGCTGCACAGATTGTAAGTGGGGTGAAGATTAAAACCTGGTTAACTCTGCAATGTAGACATGCCCTAAATGTAAACACTTGCCATCAGACTCCATGGCAAAAGCCCCCAGATACTGGTATTGACAACAGATATGCAAAACCTATGGGGCTGCTGCTTCTTCAGTATTATGGCCAAGAAATGAAAGGCTCAATATATAGTCATGAGTCAAGAAACACAATGGGATCTTGATGGCATAGTTTTCTAAAATGCAAAGCCAGGTTTCCAGCAGAAGCACTGAGATCTGGCTATTTGCTTAAAAGCTAAACAACATACATTCATCCAGAGCTAAAAAGGCAACACATAAACATCCTATTACATAACAGTCATATATATGCTAGCTATAGGATAATTTCAATCAATGTTTTCCTACTGTTAGCACTAAAGGAGGGGAAGGGACACCTTGAACATGAAGCCACTTTACCTATATATCCTCCGCCTCCTCCACCTGAGGAGCACCCCCCTCCACCCCCTCCGAAACCCCCTCTTGTCTCCCACCCCCACTTCTTCATGGCCTGGGGGCAGGATTTTCCTCCAGTAGCACCTTCCAGCAAGGACTTTCCTGACCACAGGAAGGAAGTGTTATCATTCCAGCCACCTCCACCACCTGCAGTTAAGAAAAGAGAAAGCAGCCCATGTAAGTTTCTGTTACTGCCAATCAGCAGAACGAATGCTCATTACAAACACCTCAGCTGCAAGAGAGAACATCATATAGTAGTTACAGAATGGGAAAAGAGACCTGAGTGCCATCTGCCACTAACTGGCTGTGTCTGATCTATGGGCACAAATTCTCTGTATCTCTTTTCATCCATCTATGCATTTTTCTGCGAATAAAGTCATTAAAATGCAATTTTTCTTCACCAACTTTTTTTGATTGTGACATTTTGGCTAGCTCTAACCTGAATGAATCAGTTTCTGTGCATGTGTTCTATTACCCACTACAGAATGAAATCAGATATTCTCAAGAGCATATCTTCGGTCTCTTGAGCTCTGTCAACACTTCTAAGGCCACATGCCCACTTGCTGTCGATCTTCCGGTGTTTGATTTAGAGGGTCTAGTACAGACCTGCTAAACTGAATGCTGAGGGTGCCCCAGTCAGCATCAGTACTCTTACTCCCTGTGAGGAGTAAGGGAAGTCGATGGGAAAGTTTCTTACATAGCTGGAAAGCCAACATGGCTAATCTGCTAGAGTTCTTTGAGGGGGTCAACAAACATGTGGATAAAGGGGGATCCAGTGGATATAGTGTTCTTAGATTTCCAGAAAGCCTTTGACAAGTTCCCTCACCAAAGGCTTTTAAGTAAAGTAAGTTGTCATGGGATAAGACGGAAGGTCCTTTCATGGACTGATAACTGGTTATAAGACAGGAAACAAAGGGCAGGAATACAGCTGGTCCCCAAGTTGTGAATGGTCGAGTTATGACCGTTCGCATATACGACCAAAGCTCCCATGGAGCGGTCGTAAAGGTGGTCCCCGAGTTACGAACGCAACCCGCGCTTACGAATAGAACAGTCACTATGTAACTCAATGGGGTCCGAGTTACGAACAGATCGAGTTACGGCCAAGTGTTTGGTCTGTAACTCATTCATAACTTGGAGAGAGGCTGTAAATGGTAAATTTTCAGAGTGGAGACAGGTAACTAGTGGGGTCCCCCAAGGGCCTGTCCCAGGACCAATCCTATTCAACTTATTTATAAATGATCTAGAGAAAGGGGTAAACGCTGAGGTGGCAAAATTTGCAGATGATACCAAACTGCTCAAGATAGTTATAACCAAAACAGACTGTGAAGAGCTTCAAAAAGATCTCATCAAACTAAGTGACTTGGCAACTAAATGGCAAATGAAATTTAATGTTGAGAAATGTAAAGTAATGCACATTAGAAAAAATTAATCCCAATTATACATACAATATGATGGGAACTAACTTAGCTACAACTACTCAAGAGAGAGATCTTGGAGTCATTGTGGATAGTTCTCTAAAAACATCCACGCAGTGGGCAGCAGTTTTGGTCAAAGAAACCAAACAGAATATTTGGAATCATTAAAAAAGGGAGAGAGAATAAACTAGAGAATATCTTATTGTCTCTATATAAAACCATGGTACACCTACATCTTGAATACTGCGTACAGATGTGGTCATCTCATCTCAAAAAGATATACTGGCATTGGAAAAGGTTCAGAAAAGGGCAACAAAAATTATGAAGGTTTGGAATTTTTCAGCTTAGAAAAGAAGAGACTAAAGGGGAGGGGAAATATGATAGAGGTCTATAAAATCATGACTGGTGTGGAAAAAGTGAATAAGGAAAAGTTATTTACTTATTCCCACAATATAAGAATTATGAGGTCGCCAAATGAAATTAAGAGATAGCAGGTTTACAAACAAAAGGAAGTTTTCCTTCACTTCGCACACAGTCAACCTCTGGAATTTCTTGTCAGAAGATGTTGTGAAGGCTAGAACTGTAACAGGATTCAAAAAAGAGCTAGATAGATTCATGGAGTTTAGGTCCATCAATGGCTATTAACCAGGATGGGTAGGAATGGTGTCTGTAGTGTGGAAACCATTTTCATATTTAGTTAAAAGCCATCTTGTATAACAGAAACCATTTCAGCTTCTTGCTTCTGAACTTTCTGTCACCCCATAAGAAGCCTACAGGATAGGCTATTGGAATGTGTTAATTGAGCTGGTTGAGAGAGGAAGCCTCACTCCCTAATACCTGCCCACTATCTTGCTGATAACGGTTTTGTCTTTCTAAGTTTAACTGATGATTTCTGTAATTGGATGCCCTGACATCAGATTTGTTTGGTTAAGGGTATAAAGATACTAGGATTGATTGTATTAGGCAGCCTTACTGGGCCCGGCTCTGCTGGGACCACGTTTGGCTCACTCTGTGCCTTATTGATCAATAAAGCTGTTTGATTAACCGCCTAACCAGAGAGGAGCATTTGCTTCAACAATTTGGAGGTCCCACCAAGATTCCTAATGCGCCACTTGCCCGTATGGACGGACCAGCACCCCACTTCCAAGCATTTCAGAGTGCTCAATAGAAGGTAAGGGGGATACCTGTTATGAAATCTCCTGTCGAGAGCTTGGGATTTGGAGTGACGGCCGGCCGTCAGGGTAAGGGGAGCTACGGAATCAACTTTTTGTGGGGCGGCTAACATTTTTGTCTGTCTGTGTCTATTAGGCCTGTCTTATGTGTCACAGTTCCAAAAGGGCACACCAGTGCCTCTAGTGAGGCAGCTATGCGCTAAGCCCTCTGTGTTCGGACGCTGAAAGCTGGAAAGCTGGTGTGATGCCATTACTCTCCCTCGGCACACGGAACTGTGGGAAAGCTTTGTCGTCTCTCTGTCACTTACGGACGTAATACTAACCTTTACGGCTAACCCCAGGCCATAGTACTCCCCCATTCCGTCAGGCTGTCTCCAGGCACCAGGATGTGGTGTTCTGTTGGGCTGGGGCAGGTGCTGGAAATCCCTATGAGCGGGTGGATTTTGGTCCAGCGTCTCAGCTAAAAAGTGTGGGGGGGGAGATCTTGCGAGCAGGTGAACTCTGGTTCGGTGACACTCAGAAAGAAATAGTGTGAGCAGGTGAAATCTCAGTTCAATGCCTCACAGAGTCTTTCAAAGCGCGCAGAAAATGGGGGTAGGTCAGTCTACAGGAATTCCAGTGCCTTTATAAGTGCCTTCTGGTATAGGATCCTATTAAATGCCGGGTGTCTTAGGGCAGTGCCACTTAATAGAAACCCATGGGAACTGGACAATTAAAAAAGAAAAGATGCATCTAAATGTGGAAACTGTAGGAAAAAACTGGAAAAAAAATGTGTGAAAAATGAGTATGAATGTAATGAGAGAAGTATGAATGCTTCTGCATAGGTCTGAGACTTGAGCTGATCCCAGCTGCACCAAGACGGGGGGGGGGGGGGGGCTCAGCTGAACCTCGAGACTCAGCGGATATGTGAGGGAGTGACGACTCCACTTATTTCATGAGCTGCTACTGTCTAACACTCTAGATCTAGCAGACTCTTTCTTTGAAGTGTGTAAAGTTAGCTTAGATGGGGGTTAGTCTAAGCATATCCTCCCCACTGCCGAAAGGCACCCCTGTGTACTATATGTATGTGTATAATGGTCCAAGGACCTGTAAGCATTTAACAAATTGGAAAAGAGAAAAAAATTAAAGCCTTGAGGGATGAAAGTGAAGCGCAGAAAAGCAAAAAAATCTGCCCTGCAGTGAGAAATGTAACTTACAAGCAGCTGCAGTGCCTCTGTGCCAAAAGAATGCACAAGAAGTGAGAAAAAGGATTTCTCCTTAGGGGGGAATTCAGCACAACATCACCTCTCTACCCCTCTTTATAACGCATATACAAATAAAGAGGAAACACAAAAGATACCTAAAAGGAATTAGCTCTTCCCTTTGGAAACACGGGCTCCTGTAACAAACCTGCCCGATCCAAAGCAAAACACCGAGTTTAAAATAAGTTTAACAGCTTAAGGGAAGTGTTCCTCCAAATTCTGATGAAAGGAATTAAGCAATATTGTAATGTGCAAGAAGGAAAACCTGCTTTAAAAAGGACTCCTTGTTTCTTGCAGCCTCTTTTAATCATCTAGGCAAAAAAACAATCAAGTTTAAACATTTAGCCACAGTCACTTTGTTAAATCTATTAAAGGAAAATAAGGAATTCTACTGAAACTTAACTGGTTAACTGCATAAAAGAATAAAATCTATACATTGTAAATTTGTAAAAGCTGCACCCTAAGGGTGAAATTTGCCTTCCAAGGAAACAAATTATCGTTTTAAGAATCCAAACCCAGAAACTTCACTGTGTCTTTGTTCAAGGCTGAGTTGATGGGAGGGGAGGGATAGCTCAATGGAAGGGAGTAGCTAACAGTGCTTTATAATGCTCTAAACAATGATTCTTACTGACACTACTAAACTCTTAGATTTGAAGAGCTCAGTGTACTTAAACATTAATTATGTAAAGCTCACTATATCCCTGGAGGTAGGGAAGTATTATCCCCATTTTATAGGTGGCCTAGAGAGGTTAAGTGACTTGCCAAAGGCCACAAAGTAGGTGGACAGCATGAAGAGAATTAGGAGTCCTGACTACCAGCCCTCTGTTCTCTATGCAGCTCCTAGTACCCCACATTCATTTTGAAACATTAAGAAACCCATTTCAGTGCCTCAATTCTCCATCTGTAAATTGGGGGTACTACAACTTCTCTTTTAGACAAGGCTTGGTGTGAATTAGTTTGAAATTGTACATATTACCATACCTGTATACATTAAATATTGTTAATTGTAATATTGTTTATTTTTGCAGGCTTCATGATGATTGAAGGTTCAAGGTCCAAAGTGCTGGACATTTACAGAGCTATGGAAGAGACTTTTCCATCTCAGGAAACAAGACAAGCAAACATACGTAGATTAAAGTCATTTCATGTTTCAGAATGGTGCAACACTGGCAATCTGAAAGACAAACCTGCTAAGCACAGAAAAGTATAATCCAAGAACAAAACTAAACAATGTTCTGCAGGGAACAGTCTTGCCTTGGCAGGGATATGGACTAAATGACAATAGGTCCTGTCCATTTTTGTTGTCTGTGGTTCTGTAAGCAGATGCCCAGTAGCGCAACCTTCTCACAGAGAGAATGCATTCACTCTGATGTGAGTGGGAGGTCCCCAAATCGGTGGTTCATTCAGTCTTTAGCCTCTTTGCAGGAACTGCTAACTAGGCTACAAGACAGCCCAGTCTGCACTAGCCTGGGAAACTATACTAGCAGCTAGGCAATAGAAATGCTACATGAATTCTATGTCTGCAGGGATTTCTTCCTTGTGGTGACAATGGTTTCTAAGAGTCTCTCATTTTCACATCTTATGTTAGGTCTCTCAAAGATTTGCTGAGACAAGGTGATGAGGTGATATCTTTTCTTAGACTGACTTCTGTTGATGAGAGACACAAGCTTTTGCATTTACAAGGAGCTTTTTCAGATCTGGGAAAAGCTCTTTGTGGCTTGAAAGCTTGTCTCTCTCCCCAACAAAAGTTGGTCCAATAAAAGATATCATCTAACTCACCTTGTCTCGCTAACAACCTGGGATGGACATGGCTACTACTATAGTGCATACAAAGATTTTCTCAATAGAGTAAATGTTCCTTACCTGCAGCTCCTGAATTTCCATTCAGCCCTGGAACAGATGAATCATTCTCCAGCCTTTCTGGATGAAAAGTATCTGTTTTGGCCCTGTAGGCTCTGCCACCACCTCCTGCTGCAATTATCAAAGGGACTGGCTCTCCATTCTCCATCTTAACAGGGTGAATTGAGAAATGAAGCTGGGGTTTACGCTGTGTCAGACATGCAAATACAAGTTCATCCCTCACATTAGTTACTTCATGTTCACTCAGCAAGGCCCTAGGAATGCTGAGCTGTCCAAATTACTATTGCATTATTCATGTACCTGTAACCAAAGATTAATGGATGCTTCTAATCCAACCATGTTCAGTAGAGAACAACAGCTTCGAAGGCTATATGTATCATGCAAGCCAGTGCTCACACTCTTGTAAAGCATGTAATGTTACCTGCTATGATGTAGTGTATCAATTACAAAAATGCTAAGGTAGACTGCTCTGTGTAGTGCAGTACAGTGGCTCCATTTTGCAGGGGGTTACCACTTCGGGAACTACTTGAGTGTGCAGAGTGACTATGATACAGTGCAAGTCTATTGAGTTGAAGTGTATTGAGATTTGGGATGAATGCGGATTGATTAGCCCACTTTTGATAAAAACTTTAAATGACCTGCAATGGAGATCAATGGGCTTTGGCTGAAAGGCTACATCTACAGCAGAGCATGAAAGCTGACACCAATTATTCATATGCTGCAATACAACAGAAGTCAAAAACTACAAGGACTATATTCTGTGATGCCACAACTCAAGAGACTGCCGTGGAATTCACCCGTTTCAGAACTGTGCTCCAGAATTTCAGGTCACATTACAAAATTGTATTTTTAGTCCACGTGGCAGAAAGATAAACCTTAGGAATGTACATTGATGCAATGACCCTGTCTGAGCCAGCCTTAGCAAAAGCTCTAAGAGGTATGAACAGGGCCATTCAGCTCAATCAGGGGCTCAGGACCTCTTTGCACCCACAGCCATAAATTATAAGTTATATTTAAGCTCACTTTAAGGCTTATTAGTGTAAGTGGGAATCAGGCCTAGAGATTTCTTTATGCTCCAAGGTATGTAATAGGGAGTACTTAATAAACAAAGGATGGCATTCATGCTAAAGGCCTAAGTAGTGTGCAGTATATTTATGTAATAGGTCATAGTGGCTATGTTCCTGTACCTTAAATATATATGTTGCTCCTCCCCCTCCACCACCTCCTCCTGCCCATTCATGGACACTCCTGTTCATTCGAATCTCCTCTTCAATCACGTTATTCTCTCCAATGCATACTTTCTGGATAACATGGTTAGTCTGCAGATAGAACAGAAAGTCTGAGTTCATACAAGAAGCCTTCACTTTACTACATGCAAAGTAAGCTAACTCATTACAAATGCCTCATATTCCTCCAATGGTTCCAATGTGCTTCCATCGAACCAAAGGGAATTTTGCCATGGACTCCAGTGGGAGCAGAAAGAGGCTTACTCTCCTACAAAAGTGCCGCCTTTTGCTCTGTTTCTGACCAGAGGAAACTGTGGTTTTTTTTAATTGACTCAGTTTAATGTGAATTCAGTGCTGAACAAGTGTCAAGTAGACATCTCTAGTAACTGATGTCATATTTATCCATAGAAGAGGTATGGCACAGTCTGAGGTATCTCCACTTTATATGCCAGGGGTATGATTCCTCTACTTGTGTACACATACTCAGGAGCACTGGAACAATTTGTATCATGGGGCGCTGAGAGCCATTGAAACCAATGGTAAACCTTGTATAGAATGGAAACCACTTCCATTAATGGGGTGCAGCACCCCAGCACTAGAACTTATGCACATACTCATGCTAGCTGTAATCAATCTAGCATGCTAGCTGTAATCAATCTAGCATACATATGAACAGCAGGATCACCATGCTAGCACGGGTAATGGCAGCAAAGGCATGGTTGAACTGTGCTTACCCAGCAAAAGCCAGTGGTTATGTACTGAATGCAGCTAACCCCACTTCCACTGCAGCCGCTGCCACAGCTACACAATTCATTCTCATGCTAGCTTGAGTATGTGTACACAAGGAGGAGAATCACACCTCCAGCTCATTGTGCAGATGTAGCCAGTGCAAACCTCCCCCAATCCACCTGCCCATAACAACTTGACTTTCGCCTAGCATTTTTCACCCATTTATTTCCTTTACAAAGGAAGGTAAGTATTGGTGCCATCTGTGTTGCACAAATGGGGAAACAGAGGCACTTGGCAAAGAAACAACTTGCTCCAAGTAATACTGCAAACCAGTGGCAGACAGGAATAGAACTCAGGTCTCCTGATTTCCAATTCAGTGCCCTAACCAGTGAGCCATACTGCCAACATACTTCAGTCTTGACTTTAAGGGATTCCTTAAGGATAAAGCCTCACTACCAAATGCCGTGGTGGACATTTGATCATGAGGTAATCAACTGAGTCTCTTCCAACTCATTCATACATACAGAATGGGAAGCAACTGTCTAGGAAGGAGTATGGCAGAAAGGAATCTAGGGGTTATAGTGGACCACAAGTTGAATATGAGTCAGCAGTGTGATGCTGTTGCAAAGAAAGCAAACATGATTCTGGGATGCATTAGCAGGTGTATTGTGAGCAAGACACAAGAAGTCATTCTTCCGCTCTACTCTGCGCTGGTTAGGCCTCAATTGGAGTACTGCGTTCAGTTCTGGGCACCACATTTCAAGAAAGATGTGGAGAAATTGGAGAGGGTCCAGAGCAGAGCAACAAGAATGGTTAAAGGTCTAGAGCAGTGGTCCCCAACCTTTTTAGGTTGTCGGGCGCCAGGGAGCGTGGCCGTTTGCCCGCCGGGCGCCAGGGGGCGGGGACCGGGGGCGCCCCCCCATCCACGCGCCCGGGGGCGGGGCCCCACCTACCGCGC